CACCCCCCCCACATATCAAACTATCACAGGGTTCTATAGTCAAGTTCCTAAATTAAGAATTGCAGGATAGGAGCTAAATAGCTTTGAGTATCATTTATAAAAAGTTAGTAAAACTATATCACAACTAAAATTGATTTTTTTCAAATGGTGAAAAAGCGCTTCTCTGAGGACACTTGAATAATAATCCTCAGGTTCTCTGGCTTGTTGTACTGTGAAATTAGGTGTTCATATGCTTGAGCAGGGGGGCTCGACCAGGTGACTTCCAGAGGTCCCTTCCAACCTGAACCATTCCATGATTCTGTATGGGTTGCACCTCAGTTTTATCCATACCGGATCATCTTATATGGCTGAGAATTCTGGTGCTCAGAAGATGTCAGTTCTTGCATCTTCTTGAGTAGCTGTTGAGCAACTTTGCATTCCTTTATCATACTGGTTTCAGTTCTCTTCTAATTATATTGAAGTTTTCTTTCTTAGGATTGCTATAGATTTTTCTTCTGATATTTTAAATGATACAGTAGCTCAAAGATTATGCTTGGTATGTGTTACTAATAGTAATGCATATGGCAACCATCTTCAGAAAAATAGCAGACTAGCTTTCTGAATCTCTCTTTCTTGTGGGTTTCAAGTATGCAAAATGCTGTATTTGGGTTTAATACTTCAATAACATTTATGCTGCTTGTTTTTGTAAGTATGAGTTTGAGGAGTGGGCTCGCTTTCTTTACTGTCTGAAAATATTGCATTTCTATTATTTTTGAAGTGTCGATTCATTATTATTATGGCTATTCATCTATATTGACATGAGTTAGGAATCTCTTCTTTTCAGAGAAGATAGCCAGTTTGCTAGTTGAGTAAACTATCTCAAGGTTTTGTGTATTGCCTCTTTTCTATGTTATAGCAGCACTTTTTCTGTTCCTTCATTTGCCACTTCATTCAGTGACTGAAAAAGACTTGTAAATAAGCCTCAGCTTTACTTCTAGATTTCTGCATGTTTCTTTACTCAGCAGCCCCTTGAGTCATACGCTGGGATGCTGGATCTGTGACGTGTAGATAATTCAGCCAGTGCAGACCACATTCTTTAAGAGAGCTTGGGCTAGAGAAATTGTTTGGGCAGCAGCCGCCTCCTGGCTGATAACCTATGATCACCACCAGTTCTAACCTTTACGTCTGCATTAAGTTCATTTGTTAATAGAGGCATCACATGTACTGCTAGTGTACAGAATGGTTGTGATGCATGTGCGCAGTAGGTCCACGATGAGGCCACAGCTTGAAGCATTTTAGTGGACTGTCCCGTCTGAAAACTGGGAATCACTTCCAGGCATCCAGTTGTGCACTGGGTATAAACTGTATGGCTTTTCTGCAGAATCTGCTGTCAAGTACCACTTCCGTTGAATCTACAGATGTAAAGAAACTGAGGAATAGATGTAAAAATAACATCTGCTGGTCACTGTAAGCAATTGCGGTCGCTGCTGTTCTAGTGGTACAAATTTGCTGCTGTCTGTATCTCTGAAAAGAAACAGAAATGTGAATTGGACACATTTAAAGCATAAAACTTCTTAACTTTATCCCAAACCAAGTTTTTAATTTACGTTAATTGCTGGGTCCATGTGGCCTGAGATCCTCAGTGAGTAGATCTGTTATCTCCTTGTGGCTCTATTGGAAAGAATCTACTAGAATTTGTATAATCTTAATGCAAACCATGGTTGCTGTTACTGGAGTCTGGGCTTCAGACTCATCATCAAGATGTTTGGTGCAATTTGATGCTTTTAAGCAAATGACTCTGTTCTTACACTAGCAGGGCAAGACTTGTAGTAATATGGACTGTAAATAAAAATAGCAGTATAGCCAAATATCAGGGTAAATGAGTGAATACTAAAAAGGATCAAAGTGAGTAGCTGTATAAACCCATCTAACTTGACAGCTGCTGGCCTAATAGGAGTCTTAGATCAGCAGTGGCTTGTTTGCTTTCTTGGCAGAATCAAAAATGAAAAGCAGCTCAGTGTGTATGTTTTATAAGATTTCCCTGGAGTTAAGTGGAAATTTGACTCTTTGGTCACTTGAAAGCTATAGTGTTTTTTGTGGATTTTTGCACATAAACAGTAGTGCAGAGGAAGGGGACAGAAGGAAATAGAAGGAAGCTGTCTTTGTACGTGTTCTTTTTTTATTCAACAATAAAAAGGCATTTCAATTCAGCAAGAACTGTTAAATAGCTGCAGTAGAAATGGATATATTGTTTTTTAAGTTTAATTAACTCTAGTAATCAGGTGCTAGCTATAAAAGCATTATTAATTGTCTTGTGTAACTTGAAAGGAACCTGAATTTAAGTACACTGAGTTTAGACTGTCTCTCTGTTCTATTTATTCTGGTGCTTTGCGTTTTTTTTTCTGGGGGAACATAAATTAGCTATAACTCAGAGTAGTTGGGCAACCATTAAAGCAAAAGGTATATTTAAAGTGTTACCAAAATGAACAAGAGTTCATAGCTGTTAATGGGGGGGTGTGGGGGGAAGTAAGCGCAGAGCTGATTTTGACTGACAAGTTGTGCGTAGCAAATACCTGAATTTATAAAATTCATGGGGGGATAGACATATATATTTGCCAAAAATTCTTAATCTGTAGCTCCAATATCAAAATGATTTGTTCATTTGTTTTTTTAGAAGCTTCAGTAGGTATTTAGACAAATAATATGTATGGATAAATTTTAATTTCTCCCTGAACGTGATCCTGGCATACACTTTAAAAAAAACACTACCACCAACAACCCCACCACACTCCAACTCAACCAAAAAAACCTACTAAACCCCTCCCCAAAACAAACATACAAAAATTGAATAGAGGAACTGTAGAGGTTTATACAACTGTTATTTTTCTGTTAATTATATCGGGAGGGAATCCTTTGTTTCAAATTCACTCTTAAGTATAACCATGAGTAAACACTGAGATTTGTTGGTGACTCGGTACACAAGATAAATGCTCTGCTACCACTGCACAGATCAATACTCTGTCATTTCACATGCTACTAATAAATTACTTCTCCCATGTTAGGGGGATAGAAGTTTTCCTGTCATGTAAAGCTGTTACAGTCCTTTATTTTGCCATTTAATAAAACCCTTCTTAGTTTCTCTTTCTTTAGTTTCCCCTTTTTCTTAGTCTATTATTATTTTGTGTACATAATACATAAATAAGAATTTCTTCTCCTGAAATAGTTTAAAAGCAAGGGCAGAATTCATCATAGATGATGACCTCAACATTATGAATGTGTATGTAGGTTGTATTTAAAAATTGCTCAAGAGACTTGATGGGGGTGGCTTATAGGACGAATAAAATTCACCTTGGAAAATGGACTTATGCTACCATCCTTTGAGCAGTTTCTTTCACTTCTAGACATTACGTTAACGTGTCATAAATATTTGAAAAAAGAACAATACGTATGACCCCTCGTTTAAAAATAGATTAAAAAAAAGATATACTAGTTATGGTGTTTGGAGCGATGCATTTCACAGGTGTAAAAATTTGCAAGCAGTCCTGATTCTGAAGCTCTGTTCTTCCTGCACTTTAATGGACTTACAGCTGTCTTCTCTGGGTGGCCAGTGGTGCCCTGATGTGGGTGTGAATGAGTGTAAATAGTTCAGGCAAGGTCCACTTGCTGAGAAATAATGTGTTTGAAAGAATAACTTTTGGAAGTCTTTTAATTGGTCTTGTGGATCAGTGAAGTGGTGCTGCTTCTTTGTAATATTTATCTCCTGGTTGATAAGAGCACTGCCTTCAGATACTGAAACAAAATGGAAGATGGTATACTTTGCCTGTCTGTCATTATGGTGCAGTGGAAGTTAATCAGTGACATGTGCTTATAGTATTTTTCAGTGAAACTTTTCCATTGCCCAGTAAGAAGTCATGAAGGATTTTTGCAGCTGGAAGGGTGTTGAGCAGGGTCTGATGTTACTTTCAGCAGTGACTGCATGCTCTGTTGCATTGTGGTGAGGAAAGAACAGAGAACGCGCATTTCAGTTGAGAGTAGCTGCCCAGAAAAATGTTGTAGGTTTGGGAGATCCTGGTCCACATCACGTACAGCCTGGTCTGAAGCAGAAGATCAAGCTGTGGTCTGGCACAATGGTTTTCGTGGTGTGTTCTTTCATTCTGCTTTATTGCAGACTCTAGAAAGCTAATGCTGAGAAGTAAGCCTGTTGTTAGAAGGCTGGAGACCTGCATATGCAGTAGAGGCCTCTCGGGAATCCGCAGATTTTAAAAGTTGAAAATCACCTGGGTTTTTTTTTTCCATTTCCCAACTTATGCCTAATAGCTAGAATATTGAATGGCCTCATAGATGCTCTCTATGTTCTTTTTAATTTCTGAGAGGTTGTATGCTCATCCCAGTGAGGAGTGGCAAGAATTTTGGTACTGCAAAATTTTTACAAAGGCTGAGAAACCATTAACCATCCAACACTGACTCAGTGTGCAAAATTATTCTCGGAGAGGTATTGTGTTGTTACTACAAAGAAAACCATTAGGACTACGCTTGCATAACAGCAGAATTTGCCACTGTCTATGTCTTGTAACTTCATCTGTTCTGTATTGCTTTTGTCAATGAATCAAATGTGAGAACTGCTCTAAACTGGTACCTTTTGTATGAAATACACCTGAACTTGTTTAGTAAATTTATCCTGTCTGCAGAACCTGAAAATAACCTGAAAAAAATGAAACTTAGAGACTACTTAAAAGAAGGAGGAGATGTAGTCTTAGAAAATAAATGTTTGCCATTTCTTTTTAGGTCAGAAGACTTGTCTCCACTTACATGGTATCTTTCCTTACATCTATGTACCATATGATGGTTTTGGACAGCATCCAGAATACTATCTTCGTCAAGTGGCATTCAGCATTGACAGAGCACTTAATGTGGCTTTAGGCAATCCATCTTCTACTATTCAACATGTTTTCAAAGTGTCATTAGTATCTGGAATGTAAGTATGACCTGTTAGGATTTTTGGTTATTTGTTTTGAAATGTTTTTGCAGTTGTGCTACGTAAAAGCACTTATTATGGACTTGGGTGACTGCAGTGCTTTTTCCTTTTCTTTTTCCCCACGTGTGTCTTCATTCAGGCCTGTACAACTACTAAAATAACTCTTCTCACTTGCTTGGACTTTAATATAATCAACAGGTTTTCCCTCAAACACTTGACACAACCATTTTTTCCTAAACTTGTATCCTAGTGTCTGTCATGTTTCCAAATCTGTTCCTTTTAGCTTTTTCTGTCTTTGCTATTACAGCAGTACTTTCCATCCAGCTTTTTCTACCTGCCTGGGTTATTCTAGGTTCCCTGTGACCAGGGAATCTTGCAGGAGCCTGACTCTAGGTCTCCTTTTCTTTGTTCATCTAAGATGGCCTCTTTAGGAAGCACATCATAGAGACTGTCAGGTCATGTTTATCCATCTGATTCTCCCAGCAGCACAGGCCATGAAGTGGAGACTCTTAAAACATTAATTTACTTATCTGTCAAGCTGACTGTTGTGTTTCATTTGGTGTAGCTTTCTACTACTGCTGGAACTATATGCTATTTTTGAATGTTAACATTTTAAGGATTCTCTTAATCAATTTTTATTTAACTGGTGTAACCAAGGACTGAAAAATATGTCAAATCATAGTGAATAATAGGAAACTGTCCTGGAGGAACACATTTGGTCTATACATGCATTGAATTTTTAATCTTCAGAACAAGGTAAATGCTAATTTTCAGTACTGTGCAGCACTATCTCATTTTTTTTAATGCACTTTTGAAATACGTTCTTTCTGACTGTTAACTTTAGGAAAATAATCTTTCTATTCCCAGCCAGTTTTAGTGGAATCTTGTAGATAAAGTGGCTGCAATAACTTCTTTTCATTTTTAGTCAGAACTTTCTGATGTGTTTTTGCATTTACAAGGAAGCTAACCCACCAAATTTCTTACTTTCGTTCTTTTTGCAAGAATTATGATTATGTGAATTGTAGTATAGCTATTCATCTCAACAGTGAAAGGTGGACAGAGTAAACTGCTGAAGATCTTTTCTTGAATCAGCGAGAAAACAACCGACAGAGATTGGGAGAACCTGTCTCTTTTCACTTCTCTTGCCTTAGAGCTTCCGAACGGCCATTACTGAGAGCCAGAGGCTCACCGCCTCAGAGCAGCATAGGAAACAGTGTTTTGTGTATTCGTTTGCTTGCGTGAGAGGCTAATGGGAAGCACATAACAAATTATATTACATCTTCATTTTTACCTGCGTAGGTAGACATGCCGATGTAGTCACACAAATCTATTTGTTCTATTCTGAGTCAGATTATGCTCATAGATATTATAGTGTCTCTGTGGTGAGAATCCTGTATTTTTCTTTAAATCTTGGAGATTATCCCTTCCCTTCTGCTTTAGCAGGAAGATTGTTATGTAATAAAGGTGTTTGCTAAACCTTCACAGATTTAACATAAGATTTTTGTTGCATTAACTTTCAAATGTAGCAGAGGTTCAGGAATAAAAAGAGGCAAAACATGCTGCCCTTGTGCATTCTGAAGTTAAAGTAGGTGTTCATAGCTAACCATGGAAGCGTTGTAAATCTTGTTCTCCCTGCTGCCATGTCAGTGTGAGTATGGAACACTTACTGTGCAAGTGCTGACTTTTTTTTTTGAAGTAGCTTTTGATTTACATGCCTACAGCACATTGAGTCATTATAACTCAATATACTCCTATACATTATAATTATGTATATAACCTATCATTAAATTTATGCTCTCTCTATAAGGAAGAGATTGATTCATTATACTCCTTTTCAGTTTAACAGCTTTAAGTTTATTGTTTCAACTTAGCTCAATTTTAATATAATAAATGTTTTTTTAAACAGTTCAGTGTAGCTTTTGGAGATATTAAATGTGCACATCTTTAACCATATTAAGGATAGCAGTATTAATGCTGTAGTTGTGCAGTGCTTTCCTGAATTTCTGTTGACTTTGGTTGCAATTACTGCAAACTATAGACTTCTTGCATTCACCCAATGTGTTGAATTATGGCCTGTTTCCTTAACATGCTGTTTTACAAGCGTGTTAGATTAGATTAGTATTCTAGATGCTGAAAAGTCAGTAATTCAGTCAAGTAATACCAGAATTAATGCTGCCTGTTCAACCTCAATTTAGTCTTGACATATTCATTACGCTATGTATTCTTTAATTGCATTCTCAAATCCTATTTTCTTCAGGATTCATGCCTCATTTAGTGCACAAGATGATTAGTAGTCACTGAAAAGGGGCAGCTATTCACTCTTCTAAGCTGTTCTCATTGTTCAGTTATTTATATTACACAGCCGGTATTTACTCATTTACACCTGATCTGCACAATTAATGTCCTTAAGGACTTTGTTACAGCATTTATCAGAAAGGCTGAACACTGGTTTTGAAGCATCCAGCACTAATACATTTATTAAAAGTACTATTATGATGGAGTGCCATCAGTGTGTTACCATGTGGGGAAAGTGAGAAACAATGTTACGCCAGAAGTGCCTTCTAATTTTTATATACGTATATATATAAAATATATATATTTTAGATACTTTGACTTTCATAGGGCCTATTCTTTTTATCTTTAACATTTTATATAGTAATGTAGTGATACCCTTTGGCCTGACAAATGAGAATTTTTATTCTCCTGGATATACAGTTTATCTTCTGATTCCCACCCCCCTCCCCAGATTTCAATACTCTTTATAATAAAATGTAGTTGAATAAATGCCACAACATAACTGGCTAGCTTGTTCCTTTTACTTCTTCCTCTCCAGGCCTTTTTATGGTTACCATGAAAAGGAGAGACAGTTTATGAAGATTTATCTTTACAATCCTGCAATGGTAAAAAGGTAAGGATGCGACGATATGAAGTTCTGGTTGATTTCCTTGTATCTTGTATTAAAAAGTCAATTTGGAGGCAAGATTCACCTACATCTTAACAAAATAAAGCAACAGAATTCTTCTCTGCATTTTTCAAAACACAGAAGAAAATTGCTAATTTTAAGCACGTCAATAATCTTTTTAAAGCTGTAGCATGTTAGGAAAGCAAGACCAAAATATACTTGCCTCTAGTTGTCCTGTATTAACCGTAATTCTTGAACACTTGAACAAGTTTGCATCAGGTTACTTTTCCTATAACTCTTAAGGGAAACAGGAAAACAATGTAGTACTCTTTCATATGTTACAAAGTGGATTTTGGTAGTTTTAAAGTTTCTAAATTCCAGCACCCATTATTAAATTTAAAATATATTTGGAAAACTGGATAGTTTTTGTTGTTAGGCAGTTTCTCTCATTCTCTATAGAGTAATATTCTGGTAAATGAAAGCACAGTTGATCTCGATCTTACTGTCGCAGTAGTTGCAGTAAATTATAAGGAGGAATTATTTCTCAAGCATAAACTGAAATCCTTTGAGTGTGTAATATTACCTATTGTACCTGGGTTTTTTAAAGATCTAATACATGATGATGAGATAAGATTGTCTGGTTTTTGTTCTGGGCTAGTATAATTTTGCAGGATATTAATTTTCTGTCTTAGTGTAATTTATATGTGACAGATGTTTCAAACTTTGGAGTGTGTCGTGTTTGAATTACTCCTATTCAAATAAGGACTGACACTTCATTTAAATTTTTCTTTTAATTTTTCTGTATAACACTTTATTTTTTGAACCCAGTTTGCATTTAGAAATGCTTAGTGCTTTTCTTTGATACATAGATATATCCTGTTACTTTCAGATAAATTTATTTTATAATTTATAATTATCCAAATATCTGCAGTTATTTTTTTGTGTGTAGATGTTTAAAAGAGCAGTCATCCCTCTAGGAAGCTGTTAAAATACTGCTTCTGTGTATACAGTATGTAACTTTAAAACCATGCAGGACACCTTCGTACATATGTCAAGGAAAACTGGAGAGACTTTCAAAGTTATTACTGGTGCGTAGGCATACAGCAGCCACAGTTATTCTGTAGAAAATTTCAGTGGACTATTGTGGCTTTGGATCAATTGCACGACTAGTACACAGTATGATGTTTTTACAGGGTGGTTTTTTATTTGTTTATTTTAAACTGGAGGATTCACAGCTCCTTTGTAATTAACACTTTAAGAAGTTAAGGTATTTTATATTTCAATAAAATCAAAAATCAATATTGTTGTAGTGGAATAATTTTTTGTTTATGTCCTAATTTGTCTCTAATTTTAGAGTATGTGAGCTTCTTCAAGGTGGAGCCATAATGAACAAATCTTACCAGCCCCATGAAGCCCATATTCCCTACCTCCTTCAACTCTTTATAGACTACAACTTATATGGAATGAATTTAATAAACCTGGCTGCTGTCAAATTCAGAAAAGCAAGGAGAAAAAGTAAGGTGTATATTTCTTAAGGCCGAATAATTGTCTTGACGGTTAAAAACTACTATTTTGAACAAAATGTCACTAGCTGTCAGACTTTTACCATAGTTTGTGGCTGAATGGGCATCATGTGTTGTTTCCCTGTAGTTTGTTTTCTGTGTCAAAACAAAGTCCATGTGTAGCCTTCTATCATTTTTCCTTTTTGTGCCTGTGTATTGGGATTGAGGAAGAGTCTGCTTCCTGAAATGAGATGGCATATATCAAGAAACACGTGTTCTGTCAGCAATGCAGCTGTGACCATTTTCACAAGACCACACTTCTCTTCAAGTTGGGAGATTAAAAATAGTTGATATTTAGTTGAAGAATTTACATGAAAGGTAGCATACTAATACTGTTGCTTTAATTTTTTCACATTTGTTTTTGATCCTCGTGTCAATTATAACATGTTTTTTTGCTGTGGTAGTGTCTTTACAAAATTGCGGCTGATCATTATGCTCTGATGACAGATAATGTTTTTAGTTAAAACGCTGGTTTTTACTAAGGTTTTTTGCTTTAGGGTGAAATTCAAAATATAAATGAGCAAAAATATCAACTTAAATTTTTGTTTAAAAAAAATAATTTGGCATTTTGAATGTACACACTTAAATAAAAATGGTTTGGCAAGAAAATCCATAATATTACCTAAATGCTTCAGTATACAGGAGAGATAACAGTAGGAAAACCATACTGACTTTGGTACTTAACATTTAGAAAAATAGATACTGTTGACTTAAATCATAATTGTTCCTACAGCTAAGGCAAGAGTTGAAAAGAATGGTAAAGTATCTTTCTGTAAAAACAGCAAGTAAGAATCATGCTGACTTTAGTTTTGTCCCATTCTTTTTATGCATATATATTCAGACAGCAGTATATTAGTCTATGGAGTTTCATAACTGATTCTCATCTAAAGAAAAATACTCTTTTTGTATTCAACAGTATTTGACACGTTTTTGCTGGTGTCAAAACTGTAGCAAAACAAAAGCTCAGCCATGGACAGAGCATCTTCAGGATTTTCAGTCCTAAGGAAGTATAGTCAAGCACCTTTAGTCTTCCAAACATCCAAAGTGACCTCCTGGAGACATGCAATGCGATTGTAATGAGTAGTTGCTCCCACTCTTTTTCCATAGCTCTTTCCTCTCTCTCTTTCAGATGATATATGAAAAACATAAACTGTTTATATTCTCCTTCGTTTATTTAAGGATGAGAGACGTAGATTGTGAATGGGAAGAAGAGGGTGAAAAAGGAGCGTGGGCTGAGACCAGTGGACTTTAACTAAGTTATTCTGGTAGGGGAGAATCCAATAAGATAAAAGCAAGAAAATGACGGACTACCTTGTCCTGGCTTGATCAGATACTGGCAGCAGTGCTGCTGGCAAGATTCATACCACTTTGAGTGGCTCTGCATCATGCATGTGTAAGTAGCGTGCTTCAGTCTTTTGTCCCCAGGTGCAGGATCACTACTATTCCTAGCACAGCAGCTGAGTGACAGATGATTTGTCCCTGGTACAGCCTAATAGAAGCTGTCCTGTCAGGAGGCCAGTCCTTGCACAGCAGCCCTGAGAAACACTGTCCTTTCTAAGCTCAGACCTGTTGGAGTGGTGTGGAAGGCACAGCCTGCGCTTACGATTGACACGCTTACCTGCCCGTTCCACAGTTTCTCTGTCTTGGGGATGTGCATTCATTTTAATTAAGTGTAGTTTGTGCCATGCAGGCCAGGCTGAACTCTGTTTCTTAGATGGCAGTAAAAGCCTTTGTCTAAAGATGTGCAGCAGACACTTACTTTTCCTCCCTTGCAGATGATGATATAAAATTGGTCTGGCAAGGAATAGAAAATGCAGTAATAGATCTGTTCCTAATTGTAAGTAAGCAGCCTCAGGAGCCTGTTTCCAGTGGTATTTTTCTCATTGAGATAAGTAGACTGTTTTGAAGGTCAGAGGACTTTGGTCCTACCTACAAGGTAGTCCACCATTTTCTTGCTTTTATCCTATTGGATTCTCCCCTACCAGAATAGCTTAGTTAAAGTCCACTGAGAGAGGTCAGCAGGCAAATTTGTAGTAGCAAGAATACTCTACCTTCATCAGCCTGTATCCAGAAGATGCAGGAGTTCTTAAAGTTCTTATCTTTATGGATAGTGAGAAAGAAGGCTGCAAATTCATTCATGGTACCACACGCCACTAAAACTATTACAAAAACTTCTATTTTCAGTAGTTGAATCTTCTTCTCAAATATGACTCTGAAAAACCTTGATGTGTCACTGCTACTGTCTTTAAAGATCTTCATGTCAAGAAAAGGGGAATATTGAGTGTCCTTAAATCTCTATCCCTATGAGTAACTTTACTGAAGAAACAAACTGAAACAGGAATTTGAGCCTCAATTTTTAAAAGTATTTGAAAGTAGCGTTCATAGAGAATAAGAAAGGGGGTAATGCAATACAACTGCTCTGGTGTGGTATTTTAAATGCTTAGGATTTTTAAAAATAATAGTATATATTTTGCCAGTTGGCCTATAATCTTGTATAGCTGCTGTGATGTATTTTCCTTTAAAATATACAACTGTTGAGTCCCATTTCATCAACTTGGAATAACCAAGTTGCAGATGAGAAACAACGAGAGATGTTTCCATGCATAGTCAGCTTGCGTTTTAATGCAGAGAACTGATTTGCCACACAGTAGAAACGTGGCTGTTTCTTCCTGGACCAGCTCTGCCCAGGGGCAAGTGTCACTTTTGAAGAGCACAGACGCTAAGCTGTGCTAGGTTTGAGCTGGGTCTGTGCGGGCGGGATCAGGTATTTTGTGTTGTCTTTCTGGAGTCACACGGGTCGGCATCGCAGTGCCTAGGCCGTGGTAGTGCTGGTGTGGCTGAATGTGAGCTAGCTCCTGCATAAACACAAGCATGTCTTTTCACAGCGCTCGAGTGCCACGTTTCCAGTGTGAGTTCTGTGTCTGTGTGCCGTGTCAGTGCGCTTAGGAGTCTGATCTCGGGGCAGGGCTTGCAGGAACTAGTCTGGGTGCAGCGCAGTTGGTCTGGAACATAATTTAAGCCCGCTGGATTTCGGTTACTTCTGTTGGTATCTGCTGAGGCACTTTTGGCGTAGCATCCCCCAGTTGCTTCTGTAGTTAACTATATTACTTGGGGCTTTTTGCTACATGAGATATCCCTATCCCTGCTATTCCAAGTAGTGGAATTCCCATTGGCAAGACTCTGTTATGAACTTTGCTTTAAAATTATAAAATAAAAATACATGTTCTAATAAATATTTATTTATTGAAGGCCTCTGACAATTGAATTGTTCGCTTAGTGTATCTTTAACAAAAGCAAAAGTGTTTGCTATTGCTGAAAGGTAAATTGAATACAAAAAAAACCTGCTAGTGTGTGACACCAACATAGCTGAGAAAATTCAAAGTTCAATTTGGTCTTTCACATAGAAGTGGGAGAGTGAGTAATTTTCAAGATCTCCTCCCATTCCACCTCCCCCCAGCTCCATTCCTGGGCTTTGCTTTTTTTTCTTGTGCCACATCCTGTGTATGTTGTCTTTCCTTCCTTTGAAGAGTGAAGGTTCAGTAGGAGACCACAAGGGAGGTAATAAATCTTCAGAAAGGACTTCTCCAGCATGACTTTGGAGCACGCTTCCTCACTCTGAGACCTCCGAGCAAAGTTACACGGTGTTTTCTTTATTTGTAGGTCAGACAACATCTACCTTCATTGCAGGTTTCTGTTTACACCTACTGCCACTGCATCTGGAATGTATTGTGTATTCTCTTTCAGCTCACAAATAAGAAAGAAGAAAAGTGTGAAGCAGAATTTAGTGTTTTCTTTGGCTTCTAATTTCCATTGGGATCTGACCAGAGGACCCAGACACTTGGGAAACCCAAAGTTTGCGTCAGACTCTGCCTGATTTACTTTGAAACTTGTGCAAATAAGAAAACATCGAATTTAGGTTAAGATATGACTAGAACACAGCAAATGTAATTCTAATGTCAGTGTGTTGAGAATGTGTTTTTCTTTTTATGTGTATCTACATGTTAGAAAGAAAGTTGAATCATTTAAATGGCAGCATAGTTACTTTTTGAAGATGCATGCAGTGCTATTTATTCTTCAGGAGCATTTGGACTGGTAGGACTAAATAATAAATGCAATTATGCAATTATATGTGAAAAAATATTGCCAAATGAATTAATTTCTCATTCTGTTTCTCTTTCTAGGTGATACATCAGGCATAAGTAAACGTCATAGAATTCATTTTCCAGAAAATTCAAACAGCGCATCTTTCATTGAATGGGAAGAAGATGAAATACCAAGGTCAGCATGCCATGTGGTTTTTTATGCATACTGTATTTTCTTATACATCAGCTCATATATACTACAGGGTTCCAGTCTGTCATTTAAAGGACCCTTATATGTTTTGTATGTTCGAAAAAGAAATAAAAAGTGCTAATGTGACACAGACGATTGTTATTTAGTTTCTTTGCATAGTTTTGGGGTGTGTGTGTATATATATATGAAATACACTTTTTGGTATATGGCTGTAAAAATCTTAACTGGGAGATAACAATAGGAATATATGTGACAAATTGAACTTTATGGTTTTTGGAAGATATGTTGCTTGCTAATGATTAAAAGCTAAGCAAGTTGAATAGCTAGAGAATACTTACACACCAGTTCACAGATTCTCTTTTTGTAATCACCCTCAACTAACAGAATAGTGTGCTGTCAGAGTATTCCAATTTGTCCATTTCAAATAGAAGCTACATAAGAAACTCAGCTTAGAATTCTTATGTCTGTCTCCTATGCTCTTCCTTTTTCTAGACATTTCCGAGTATACAGCTTTTAATTTGTAGTAGCTTTAGTTCCATGAGGAATACACAGGGTGTTGGAGATTTTGAGGCTAGGGCAGGAAGAGAAACAGACAGTATCTGGTACTGCCTCGATTTGTATGGTTTACCCTTAGTAAGTTCTTTCTTTAAGCTACTTTCTGATGTTTGACAAGTCCTGTAAATACTCTTGTCATCTAGTAATCTTCTCAGTCTTTGGATAGTTCCCATCGTTCTTCTCCAAATAGCTTATCAGGCTCAATATACCACGCTGCTTGCTAACGTAAGGTACTGGGAGCATTCACTTCTCAGTAGAAAGTAAGTGCCTTAAACCATACTTCAGATTTTTCTCATGTGCAAAAACTTGAGCTTGTGCAAGGTAGCATCTGTTTTTCTGATTCTACTATTCCTACTTTAAGGAGGTTTTGAAACAACATTCATCTGATGGTTGTCTTGTGATTTTACTTGTGATCAATCCATATCCAGTTGTTCTTGGGCTGTTTCTTCTCCTTTTTGGCTGCATGCTTCGTTCATAGTCCATTTCAACCTTTATTTGGCTCAGTTATGTAAGCCAGTTACTTAACCTTTGGGAGCAGGATGATAAGTTAGAACAGCATTATCAGATGTTACTTCACACAAATCTGGGGAAGACAGATAAAAAGAAAGTGAAGTAGCACTCTCTGGCTGTCAAATCCAGAGAGGGATGAGCCCAGCATAGCAGGAGCCAAGAGTGTCTTCTCTGCCAGCACTCACCCTCATGACTGTATCCACAAGCCTTCTTTCCTCCTCCTTCCACGCTTCTGTATACACAGCCAGGGGTACAACACCTCACTTCTGCCAGTCCTTCTCTGGCTCTCACATGTATTCCAGCGGTAGGATGTTAGCAGTAGTGGGGCAAATACCAAGCCTATCCATTTCCCTAGCATTCATTCTCTTTACTTTTTCATTCTTTCTATTTCAGTAGAAATTTCTTTCTTGAATGCAAAGCCTGAATACTACGTAGTATAACAAACATTCTCTCTAGTGCCATATGCAATGATACTGGTAGTTCTTTTCCTGATACACTTTACAGTCTCATTTACTTTGTCATTGGTAGTTCTCTTCCTGATACACTTTACAGTCTCATTTACTTTGTCACTTTGGCTTATAAACATTTTAGGATTTATCAGTAGATGGTGTTTCTCCTCTTCCTTTTTTCCCAAGTGATAGTTTTCCATTTGGAATCCCTTGTAAGTTCATATAGAGTCTTATATCCCATTTTTAAATTCCATCCTATTTCTATTATTCTACTTTTAAGTTATTCTGCTTTCATTTTATGATGCTGTGATCTGGTTATGTATGTATCTGATATGTCTACCAGCTTGCCTTATCAGCATATTTCATTAGTACGTTCCTGCGTCTCCTGCCAACAATACTGATGAGATATGAAGTAAATTCAGTCCCAGAAACTGGTCTATGTTCAGTTCTACAAATTTTGTATCAACCCTCAGTCTTTTTTATATAACCAATAGAAATTTCACCTTTAGCCAGCTCTTAAAATACTTTAATAACTTAGTAACTAATTTACCTCTCCTGCAACTGAAATTGTTTCCCATTTGGTACTGTGTCAAACATTCCTTTGTCTAGAAAATGAATTATTTTATTAAAGGTGTTCTAGCACGGCTGTCTTCCACATGCTGTAGTATGTACATGCTGCTGCAAAGTAACAAACCTAAACTCCTTTCCATTCCTCATTTTACTCTTTTCTGTATCTACACAAAATTAGCTACCCGTTATAATTTCTCCTGGATTATTTAGGGGAGGCATCAACTTTAAACAGTGTTCTTATAATCAAACCCATACTGCAGTTTGTCCTACTTTTGGATTACCTTCCTACTTTATTTCCCTTAAATTTTGAAAATTTGCATCTGGTTTTGTGTAATTGTCATAATCAACTTTACTGAAGGTAAATCTGAACCAGATAGTATATGAGATACCAATCTAAGGAAACCCTTGTAACTGTTTCCTAAAATGATTGTGACTGAGAATTTTTTTATACTGTTCTTATTCTTGTGGTCTACAGCATTACTTGGTATCTGTAAAGCTGCCTTTCTTCCTTTACTTCTGTCTTTCCTTAACAAAGTATATTTGGTATTCCAAACATTTGGTTTCTGTGTATAGCTATATCAACAGCTATATTTATTTCTAGTTTCATGTGCAGTACCACATAGTCCCCTCACTTTGTTATTCAGTCTTCTTGAGTTCAAGTTGAGATGTTGAACTGTTTTGTACATTGTTCAGAAAAAGAATTTACTTACTGTATTTCACTGTTTGACTGCTATTTTCAGCAGCATTTGGCGTTTCTCCCGTGTGTCAGTACTGAACTTCTAAGTCTTTGCTTGTCCTTC